AATAACTAAAAGCAGTAAAAGTGGGGCTGTGAAAACTCACAAGTTTGCAGATGAATATCCAAGGTTTTGATAAGGCTTGGAGCTCCAATGTCCGCATTAATGTCCTAAACACCCGAAATTCAATAGTCGATGGGTCTCGATAAAAATAAAGTAAAATTATACTTTATGAAATGCCAATAAGCTTTTATGGGTTAAAATTGATCCCCTTTTTTTAATTGTTCTTAAAAATAATCAAATATTTATTTATATAAAAGAAAAGGTTTTTGCACAAAAAGTTACTATTTGGACAGAAATACAGATTATGTTCCTTGACTCTTGGTTTCACCAATCATTGTCAAAGGAACCTTCCAAAAATCATTTTACTTTTAACTTTTATAACCACAAAAGTCACTGTTAGACATCTTTTATCCAACAACATTATTGTTGCTCCTAAAATTTTATATTAAACATTTAAATGCTCACTCAATATTTTTGAGTGAGACCCGAAATAGTAAAACAACAACTAATCAAAGCAAACTCCAACAGAAATCAAATATTTTGGGTTGATATTAAAGAATAGAGTCGACATGATTGTTAGAAGCAACCTGTCAGTTTCAAAATGTCATTTTTATTGGTTAAATACCACATGCAAGGTGGTTTTACCCCATTTTCTTGAGTTCTAAGTTCATAGATCATAGATTATCATCATTTTGAAGACATTTTCATGTCTCTGATGAATAATCTCCTATATTAGATTTTCCAGAAAATCTTTGAGCTCACAGCGAAGAAAGAAATATAAAAGAAATGAGGAACATTGTTAAAACCCAGATCTGACAGTAGAACAATTTAATAAGGAAATTCAAGAGAAATTTGTAGAAGAAGATGAAATAGAAATCGACGGCGCTTTCTTTATTGAATTGGAAATTACAAACTCTCAAGAACCCTAATCGACTCTCATGAGATGTATCTRAATCTATGTGTTTACAATAAATTCTCTATTTGCTCTCGTTCATATTTCTCWACCTGAAACACTACTTATATAGGCAGTAATTAATGAAAATCTGAATAGGATTAGCATTATCCAAAATAGGATTAGCCTTATCCAGAATAGGATTCTGAAGATAGTCGTC